GCCTGCCTCCTTCAGAATGAAAGACCAGTCGCATTCGCCTCAAAGAGTTTGTCAGATGCACAATCAAACTACTCAAACATCGAGCGAGAGACATTGGCACTTGTTTTTGGGATCACACGTTTCCATTCATATCTGTTTGGTAACCAGTTCACAGTCTACACTGACCACAAACCACTCGAAACGATCTGTAGAAAGCCCCTGGGGAGTGCGCCTCCAAGATTACAGAGGCTTCTCGTCAAAATACAGGGCTATGATTGTGATATCCTATACAAGCCCGGAAGTCAGATGACATTACCAGACACACTCAGTAGGTTGCCAAACCCCAGAAAGAGAGGAGACGTCATCGTTGAGCTCCATGTAGATGAAGTCATGGAATTAGAAGAGAATCATGACAATGATCTGGCAAGCTTCACACCTATGAAGCAGACACAGCTGCAGAGAGAGACAGCAAGCGATCCAAACTTGAAGCAGCTGGGTAGAATTATTCACGATGGATGGCCAGACGTGATTAAGCAGGTTCCAAGCAGCTCAAGGATTCACTGGTCATACCGAGAGGAACTGGGTGTCGCCAACGGCATTATCTTCAAAGGAAGACAGGTGTTGATACCTTCAACGCTGCAATCAGACATCCTGGAGCAGCTACACACGAGTCATATGGGTATAGAGAGAACTCGTAGACTAGCAAGGGACACGGTATACTGGCCAGGCATCAATAAGGATATTGAAAACCTTGTCAAGACTTGCCCTGCTTGCCAGGAGAACCAGGATCGGCAACAAAGGGAACCACTACAACCGCACGAAGTTCCAATGACGCCATGGACAAAGGTAGCCACAGACCTGTTTTTTCTTGATGGAACTGAATACTTACTCATTACTGACTATCATTCCAAGTTCCCTGTGATCAGGAAAATGCACAGCACCACAAGTGCTTCAGTTGCTACCGTAATGAAAGAAACCTTCAGCCTCCTGGGAGTGCCCTCCGAAGTTATATCTGATAACGGACCCCAGTTCATTGGAAAAGCTTTCAAAGACATGTGTGAGTCATGGAACATCAAGCACACCACCTCATCGCCGAGATATCCGCGCTCCAATGGCCTAGCTGAGCGGATGGTACGCACCATAAAGTCGATGATTAAGAGGTGCAAACAGACAGGACAAGATGTCCAAAAGGCACTTCTCCACCTTCGAGCAACGCCTCAATCGGACCTGCCATCTCCTGCCGAAATGATGTTTGGGAGGCAAATGAAGACAACCCTTCCAGGTCGCCATGATCATGACAGACAGATGAGCGATGTCCACGACCAGCTCCAGCGAAGGCGGGATGTGATGAAGACCGACCATGACAGACATGCCGGTCGGGTACTGTCCCTCCTGAAGGTCGGCCAGAAAGTCAGAACTTTGCATCCAGACGACAATACATGGCTGCCGGCTGAGGTTTCAAGAGTTTGCCCAGAACCAAGATCATATGAAGTGACAACACCAAATGGCAGGGTGTTAAGGAGAAACAGGTCCCATCTGCGAGAGATGCCGATACAAATAGAGACGGCAACAGCACCCACACCAGGGACAGAGCATCTTCCAAGAGAGGATGGTGACAACTGCACAACACCCGCAGGAACACAGGATTTCGATGGTTCAATCCCTCGTTCTGATTCTTTTGCCTATGTCACACGATATGGTCGCAAGGTTAATCCCCCATCTCGTTATCAAGAATAAAAACTTCATCGATTAATAGATTGATAAACAACAACTATACTTTATTTGTTTAATGATTTAGCATACCCGGTAGAATTACATTGATGATAGTAAAACCTCATATTTGACATCAGGCGAATCAATATCTTAATCAGTATACATGTATATAACCAAAATGTTTTATATAACTGCCACGCTTAATATTGGCTATCTTTCAACAGAAAATCTCTTCTGTATACAGAACCGAATTTAACAATTGTATGTCGTGCTCGCGATATTTCTTCTCTCCACACAAATGACCAGGTATTATAGTTTTGTTACGCTGATTTGTCGTATTGCTAAGTCCTAATTGAAATGGGATGAAAAACGTTTTTTCACAGGAAAATGTTGTTTATAACTGTTTGCCAGAAAGCAATATGGAATCACTTTAGTTTATTCCAGCAAAAGTTATGTAAATTATAAAAAGTTGAATTACATTATACAAGTATGTCGATTCAGCGACAAAAATATGCCTGTTATAGTGGAGGACACTATTTTACCATTCTAAAATTTGTTTTTCTTGTTGAAAGGTACTTGTACGTTTTAGTTGAACAGTTTTTAGTACTGTGCTTCTCAAAAAAAAAAAGAAAAAAAAAGAAAAGAAGAATATGTTTGGAATGTTTCCTCTTGTTGAAATTTCTAAATTGTGTTACTGTTTTAGTGGATAATTTCCGTCATGTACAGTGCCTATTGAGCAGGGAAGATATAACTGGTTAATGAAAGCACTATCAACTTGTCATTGAAAGAAGGGGGATGTTGTGGTACTATATGAACAACATCAATAGTTCATTGATGTGCGTAATGAGGCCGCGATTGGCGGAAGGATACATGAATAAAGCACTTTCAAGATGGCCACTTATACATGAACCTTGTCTACAGTGATCTCTTATTTATCCGTTCATCTGATCTTTCAACAGGGGTAAGGTCACCTTTTTTAGGTCAGCCATTGGCATAATTTGTTTTAATTTTTTTTTTTTTTTTTTTAAATTAAAACAAAAAACTAAAAAGGGGGAGGGAGGGGTTTCCAAAAAAACATACACATAAAAAAACTATAAAAAAACTCTGTTATTTACAGAGGAAGCCATTCTCATCGAATTATCTAGCTTATTCCATTCAAATATAAAAGACGATTGGGCTACACTCAGGGGCGTCGCTAGACCTTTTCAGGGGCGGCCGGGGGGGGGGCGTTATTTCTTTCTGCGGCACAGATTGGATTTCGATGGGTTAGGTGCGTGTTGAGCCTATGGGAAAGTTTAGGGTGAGGGTTAGGGTTAGGGTTAATCAAGACCTTTTTTTTAAAGCCCCATACAATCTGTGCCGCAGAAAAAAATGACGCGGGCGGGGGTGTAGAGGCCACCGATAACCGACAAACTAATCACCAATTACCGCCAAATATATTAATGCCAATCTCCTAATGTCTATAAACCCGAGGCTAGGAACTAAACTATTGTCCCCCCCCCCCCCCCCCCACCGCGCGGAAGCTTTGACATTTCATTAAAATATTAGAGAAATGAGACGATTCGTCGTACCGTTCTCGACTCTTTATCCTATACTATGAATTCAGTTTCCCCCTCTTTCACGAAACGCGGAAGCTTTGACGTTTCATTAAATCATTAGAGAAAGAAGACGATTCGTTGTACCGTTCTCTACTCTTAATCCTTATCGTAATTAATCCCCCCCCCCCCCCTCCCACGCGAACGCGGAAGCTTTGATGTTTCATTAAATAGAAAGAAGACGATTCGTTGTACTGTTTTCGACTCTTAATCCTTTGTCTGAAATTAGTTTTCCCCCTCCCGCGCGCGCGCCTTCCACGCGAAGCGCGGAATCTTTGACGTTTCATTCAATAATTATTAGAGAAAGAAGACGATTCGTAGTACCGACTCTCAATCTTAGTCTGAATTTTCAAAAATGTTTCTTTGTCTGATAAAAAGTCACAGTTCGTAGTCGGAAAAAATTGCCGGCTGACCGACATAATACATCTCACGGACCCGACACAGCAAGATAATTATCTTTGCGTATCTTTCTTGCTCCCTCGACGTGGCGACTCCCGATAACATCCCCTTCTTTCTCTTACTCCCACCCCTCTTCTCTCAGGCTCTTACCCCCCCCCCCCTCTCTCTCTCTCTCTCTCTCTCTCTCCTCTCTCTCATTCATTCCCCGTTTCTTTTGTTTCCTTTTCCCTTTTTTATTCTTGTTTTCCTTTTCTCCCTTTCTTTTTTCCCTTGTTTCCTCTCCTTCCTCTCTTTCTTTTTTCCCCTTTCTTTTTTCTCTTCTCTTTCCTTTCTTTCCTACCCTTCTTTTTTTTTTCTTTTTTCTTTCCCTTTCCCTCTCATTTTTCCCGATAGCAGCGCAATGCCAAGCCCCCCCCCCCCTTTAGCGACGCCCCTGGCTACACTTATAACAATCAGTGTGAAATCTAGGCACACGTAAACATCCACTGTCTATTTGCCTTGTATGAAAATGTACACACCGGTATACATTTAATTTGGTTACATTACGAAGATAACCTAGATCAACCAATTTAACAGTCCTGCTAATAAAACTAGAGGAACCAATTCTTCCCCTCTAGATCCACCGGGCACCAGTCCTGCTGATCTTTAGAGAAAAGTAAGAAAACTTGAACACTATACTCATACTTGATGTCATTCATTGTTGGAAAATCTCCTGGTCAGAAGATGATCTCAAACACACGGCAGAAGGAGAGAAAGAGAGAGAGACAGAGACAGAGACAGAGAGACAGAGAATGCCAGGAAATTTCCCGCATCATGAGTGACCTTCAACTTTGAGGGGAAAAACCCCCGTTCCGTATAGCTGTTTCTTTCTTTCGTAGTATTTTTTTTTTAGGTTTGCTTCCTAATCAATCTTCAGTTCATCTTTGCATTGTTATTTTATATATTAGCCCTCAGGATGAGTAATATAGAGGAGAAGAAGGATGAGAAGAAGAAGAAGAAGAAGAAGAAGAAGAAGAAGAAGAAGAAGAAGAAGAAGAAGAAGAAGGGGAAGAAGAAAAAAGAAGAAGAAGAAGAAGAAGAAGAAGAAGAAGAAGAAGAAGAAGAAGAAGAAGGGGAAGAAGAAAAAAGAAGAAGAAGAAGAAGAAGAAGAAGAAGAAGAAGAAGAAGAAGAAGAAGAAGAAGAAGAAGAAAACAAGAAGAAGAAAAAGAGGAAACAGAAGGGGATCGGGAAGAAGATGAAAAAGAAGAAGATTTTTTACCATTCAATTTTCTGCTTTCACTCATACTGACATTTCCCCCTTCAGAGATACCATACATGTAAATCTTCTGTTGCAGCAGACACCAGAACCAGTACAAGACTTAACTTTCTGATTCGTATTGACAGGTAAATACGTCTTTTTTTAAAGTATTTTGCATATTGATTGCACATATTGATATAGATTTATATGAAAATATGGCATAGTACAGAGATTGTGTATGTGATGTAGTTTAATTGGTCATTTCTTGTCCCGATATCACCGTGCTTAATGATAGTATACACAAAAACACTATCTTTTGTGTACTATATGCATGTGAAAGCGCGTCTGTGGGGAGTCGGCAGAGATTATGATTATAATGCCTGGATAATAATTTATGCATGGGAGATTTAACAAAGATTGAACTTGAATTTGCGAAGAATTTTCTTTTATATTCCTCTAATGCTTAATTTGATATTATTTTAATATTCTGAAGAGTAACTGTGTCCAAAATCTCATCAAAAATTTAAATTTAAAGCAAGAATGATGTAGAAACTTAGATCTAGTTTTAAATTTTTACAAGAATATCGATCAAGTCAATTTGACAATGACATTCATTAAAAAAAATAAGTTTCACACGTCTTCCTACTCATCATTTTACACACAGCTCGGAAATATGAACATGAAAGAAAGTATTTCAACTTTTTCAAGGCTCTTGAATAACATTACTAGATCTAGAATTAGACTTTTGACAATTGTGAACAGTGAAAGTGACTTTTCAGTATCAAGACCATACTTTTTTTGAAATTTTGCTCATGAAAAGAAAAGCAGAGTTAGATTTGAATAAAAATGGACTAGAAAAGTAGGATTCTACTTTACTTGCCCTGAGCAATCTATGACAAAAAATAGTTCAAATGATAAAGTGAAAGTACATCAACAAACTAAGAATGCAGTGCATGACTAAAGTCGTGAATAAATCACTTTTAATAAATTGATTTTGCATGTTACAGTTTAAAATTACTAGTTGCTGAGCTGGACTGTTGGGAGAGGACCACAACATGGCAGCTACTCATGTTTTTCGAGAATCATTCATCTTTGGTCATAAAGAACTGACTCACTGGTTCCCATCTCATATGGCTCGAAGTAAGTTTTATCAATAATAATAATATGTCCATTTACATATTGCACCTACTGTATAAAGGTACTGTGCTTTGCTTAATTCACAATAGATTTGAATGAATACCTGTACAATGTACTATGTACGTTCCCTCTCTTTTGTTAAACTTGGGCATGTGTCTTCTTCTTCTTCCTCTTTAAATGCTACTTCATACAACAAAGATTACGCACTGCAGTGTGATGTCTGCCATGTCCAATATGTGTGTATAGGCATCAATCCAGGTGCAAAATATACAGTCATTACAGTGATGTGCTGTTAAAAATATGAACAGCGATGTGCTGCCATCAGTTGGACGCTTCCTTTAATGCCCTTTTAAAGGCATCCAGAGAAAGGAAGTTCGCAGGGTCCTTCTTGAGGTTGTTCCACTCTCTACTAGTACGAGGGAAGAAGGATGCGAGGAAAGTTTGGTTGCTGCAATAAGGTGTCCAAAGCTGTGCCCCCTACCGTCTAATCCCTTATGTAATCTTAATCCATTACTTTTCTTGTTTAAGCAATGTTTTGTCATTTAGCTTTTCTTTTTTGTTGGTAGGTATGAAGAAGATGCAGGGATCTATGAAGAAAGTGGACTGTGTTGTAGAGGTACATGATGCAAGGGTAAGGAAACTACAAACTGAACTTTTGATAATGAGCTGTAGCTCTACATTTGGATGCTGCTTAAAAATGAATTTGCGTGAACACTCATAAAGTATTATATTATAATGTAACAATACTCCTAATGTTCAAACAAATGATTTCCTCTTTGTATGGAAAAATATCAATGCTACATCATCGGTTCTTGCATTGATTTTCTATATGTGCCTTGTGATTATTTTTGTTAGGGGACTTCAAGAAATGGGGGGGGGGGGGACCTTGGCACCCCTCCAGCCCCTTAATCGTGAGCCCCATTTAATCAGTATAAATGGTTGCTTGTATGCTCAAAGGCAATTCGAGATGACAAAACTGTTGCTTCTGACCTTGACACTATTCAACTTGATTAGGAATCCCAAGGAGATTAAACAAGGTTGACTATCTTAATGATTTGATGTGAAAATGAAGGATATCTAAATCCCATTGTTTGATGACTTTATCCAATGTGGTATTGTATCTTTTCCATGCATATTGTAGCTTCCATTTGCTGGTAGGAATCCAGCATTCAGAGAGACCTTTGGCATCAAACCTCATCTTCTCATTCTCAACAAGAAGGATTTAGCAGACACGGCATCAAGTAACGTAAGTAATTAACAACAATCTCAGTTTATAAAAAATGGTTGAAAATGGTTTGACGACTGATACCTCATTGATATTGATTGTAAGGTGACACTGTCTTGAATTACAATGACCCTGAACTTAATTATGATCAAGAATTGAATGTTGGAAGCCTGTATGCTTAGTGCAAAATAACAGTAATGGTTTTGATAATGGTGATGATGATGATGGTAATGGTGATGGTGATGATGATGATGATGATGATGAGGATGACAATGACGACGATGGAAGTCCTTAATTTTCCAGCATCTTATCACTGGATGCTTCCTCTGGAGTCTTGTTTATTCATAGACTAGGTAGCTAGGGTGAAATAAATTCTCAATTTTATTTGTGACTTTTGCTCTACATTTGTATTCATAATGACACAATGAACTGAAGCAATGTGCAAAGTCCTTATTCATAATACAGAAGAAGCAATAGAATACAGGTGAGTTCTTCTCTATATTCTCCACCCAGGTGTGAAATGGGTACCGGTAGGAAGGAATGCTGTGAGCACCGAAATCGGTAGCCTAGCAGAGCCGGGGTAACATTGGAGCATCTTGAGCACCTTGCAGGGTGGATATGTGTGCTATATAAATATCCAATGTTATCATTATTATTTTCAGCTTAAAATTCTAACAATTTTGTTTTGACGTGGTTATCATTCTCTTTAGGATATAAGGAAGCGGCTGCAGGAGGAAGGAGGCATTGAACATGTCATGTTCACAAACTGTGTGCAACAGAACAGTCCAAGTGCTAAGAAAGTAAGTGCAGAAAGAATTAAAAGTGTATGAAAGTGTTAGGCGCTCTCTCTCTCTCTCTCTCTCTCTCTCTCTCTTATTAAAGGTAATACAAAGTTTAGTTTTGGGAAATTTTGAAAATTGGGTGGATAGTGATTCTTTACAATTTTGATATATGCTGATGCCCTTGTGGATGTATTATAAGCACTAGAAAATTTAGCCCCTAAAACACCTCTGCTTTCGAGAAAAATTGAATATAAAAATTACCAGTGCTCCCGGTAAATTTTAATAAATTTCAAATAGCGCCTACGGCCGTACTATGGTAGTTACGACAATGAAAATCTCAGAATATGCAGTTGTGATATAAAATTTCCAAATGGGAATAGCCAATCGGTCAATTTTAGTCAAGAAACATTGTTTAATAGCTCAATTAATATATTGACCTTGAGAGGGAGCTATACAACATAAAGAGTTTATTATTTACAATTTCCTAACTTTAGACTCGATTTCAACCGGGACAACGATCGCTGAATATTGTAGGATCGCATATGCTTCCAATATGTTCATTTGAACCAAATTCATGACCCCATACCAAAACTTTGTATTACCTTTAAGGTTGCTATAGTAGAAAACTTGGTGTTCATTCAGTGTAAAGAGGGTATAAAATAATTCTGATAAAGGGAAGTTTTGCTATTGCTTATTGAATTTTTATTCATTTCCAAAATTGTAAGAAAGCAAGTTCATCTTCCCCCCTGTGGATTTCTAGCTGAACATCCAGGGATTTATATGTATGCAATGTGTCTGGTTTGTAAATGTACTGGTATGCATACCAATCGCATTGAGAACGAAAAGTGCCAATTGTTCGTTTGTGAATATTGCCAAAGGAAGGATTTCAAAAGATATACATCTTTCAAGAATCACTAGTTTCACAGGAGTTAAAAATGACACAAACTTTGCTACTTCGAAAATATTATTTATGTTGATGTGTACCATTCAAGTTTATGGTTATAGGGGTATCTAAATATGTTGTTATCTTTGTGATGTAGATCATACCGTATTTGCCGGCGTAAAGGCCGCACCCCCGCATAGGCCGCACCCCCAACTTTGACATTTCGTAGAGAAAAAAAAATAAAGGAAAAAAAAAAAAACGGACCAAAGAAAATAATTGTAATTTTCCCGTAGAACTCTATTTTTCCTACAAACTAATACAAAAATTATCAATCATTTTATAAATTTACAGGAAGTTTACCTAAAAAATGATCGTAATTTAGCAAATCTTCATCGATTTTTAGGCAGATTAGCACATTCATGGGACACTAGAGAGCGCTTCGCATGCATACAGAAACCTGAATGGCCAACCTATCGCAGGGTGGAAGCATGGTGGAAGGATGTATCTTTTTTGTAATGTTATCCGGTCTTACCCCTATCGTACCGTCAAATGGAGAAAATAAACAAGCTTTTGTATTGTTATTAGAGATCTACCGAGGTTAGTTTGTCGCTTTAATTAATTAGATAGTCTCAATTATAATTCAGAATTATCTTACTGAAAAGTTAAGAACACCGATGATTGCGCGCTGTGCATCTCCGAAGGTGCGTTGGATTTGTTAGCAACTCTCAGCCCGTAGCTCCCCACCACAGAGTGTGTGAGTAAGGTATGATTTTGGTTACGTACGTAACCCAAATCATACCTTACAAATCATACCTTACCTTCGGATATGCACAGCGCGCAATCATCGGTGTTCTTAAGGACATTTTTACAACTTTACAAGTACGAGTTTCTGGTCAGTTTTCTTATTTCTTTGGTTGCACAACAACTAAAAAGATAACTTCTTCAAATTTGCTGCTGACGTGGTTCAGACTAGATCTTTTCCAATGTGTTTTCAAGTCAATTTTGTTAATATATTTTGTTGTATGAATTTGCCTACAAATAATGGACTTGCTGTTTTGACTTGCGATTTTTACTCTTTCGGCGTAAAGGCCGCACCCCGACTTTTTGATATTTTCTCTTCCAAAAATACTGTGGCCTTTACGCCGGCAAATACGGTACCTACTGTGATAGATATCATTGAAGGGGGAGAGAGATTTAACTGAGAAGAGGATCAGGAATATTCAATTATAGTTTTAGGGATATCTAAATATGTTGTTATCTCTGTGATGTAGATCGTACCTACTGTGATAGATATCATTGAAGGAGGAGAGAGATTTAACAGAACAGAGAACCAGGAATATTCCATTATGGTCGTAGGGATACCGAATGTTGGCAAGTCTTCTCTCATCAACGCCCTCAGACGAATTCATGTAAAGAGAGGTAAGAAAAACGTACAGTAAAGATAATACTATACTCATAAAGCTTTATCCAGTATATAGTATGCTCTGTGATTATAGTTACTTCGAGAAAGAGAAACAACCATTCTACTTGGAATGCATGATTAATATTTGAATAAATGATACATCCGTTAGAAAAACTCTAATATTCTCAACCCTCCCCTCTGCTTTGCTTAATCTTAGTTGAAGATTATTGTAATATTTTATGATCTGAATATGACTTTATTAAGGCCATTGTCAAAACTTCAAGTCAAATGACCGATTCAGGTGGCATAGTTTATATGTTACAATTTAGTATACTTCACTAGGTGTTGCAATAGTTATAATACATACTTACTTCAGATTAATCAATTGAAAAATATTCAATTTTTTGTAAAACTGTGCACATGTGTAAAATAGGTCCATGAAGAATGAGTCATGTTTTAAATGAAGATAAATGATGTGAAGAGGAAGTATACTTCTAAACTTGCCTCTTGAAATTGTATTTGAGATAGATGTTTATAAATTTGGTAGCACTCATAAGGTTTTATAGACATAACTTGATTTTTAATTTCTCTACAGGAAAAGGAACAAAGGTTGGAAGGCTACCAGGGGTTACAAGATCTTTGATGCAGAAAATTCTAGTAAGTTAAACCTACATGAAGATAATAAATTGCTTTAATTTGCATTCTTATAAAACAAAATGAAATCTGCAATTAGCAGATATAACAAAAAAGACATGACAAAAAAAGTGTTAATACACAATAAATATACAGAAGGGAAGGATGGACATTTTCACCAACCATATTAATGAGTAGAGTAAATGCAAGGTAGTACCTCTAGTTGAAGGGGGGGGGGGGTACTTAAAGTAAAGTCTAGATATGTGAGATTAATTGATCGACAATACGTTTGTATTCCTGGTTATCTTTTTGAGCTGCTTGGGAGAGACAATTCAGTTTCATTAAGAACTTCCAAATTGCTAAATTCAAGGTAACATGTGTCACAGATGTACATGTAGCTGTCCAAGGTTTTAACAAATTTCTACCAACTTCAACCTCATATTTCAGAGGTATGCCAAGGGAATAGCTTGCCTTCCTAGTTGGGGTTTTATAGATAGGTTTAGGTAGAGTTTTGCATGGAAAATGACAGCCAATCAGCGCTCGATATATTCACGCCTTGTTCCTTTAGTTTCCGTTTATATTGATCGATTTCGGCTTTCTGTTTCATCCTTGCGTTTTACTCTGATGAGTGCAAGTCTAAAAGCTTCAGTATGGCTCTTTTCAATGCTATTCTCCGATTTTGTAGTACCAATCATCTTTTCAGTAATGGAATTGAATTGTTTCTTGTAGGTGAGTGAGCAGCCTAGAATGTGGTTGTTTGATACCCCTGGGATCACAACGCCCTTCATTCAGAACGTTGAGGTCGGCATGAAGCTTGCTATGATGGGTGAGTACCTAGGATTGTGGTCTGGGCCCTTTTGCATAAAGAGTTGCGTTTAAACGCAACTCTCACTGAAAATCAAACGCAAGTCCTGATAGTCAAATGGTGTCGTGGACGAGTGGATATGTCACCAGACTGTGGATCACAAGGTTCGCGGTTCAAGTCCCACCGTGGCACTAATGTCCTTTGGCAAGACATTGATCTACATTTGCCACTCTCCACCAGGGTGTTAAATGGGTACCCGGTAGGATGCGAAAGCTAATGTGGTTAGATTAGCAAGTGTGCGCTTGTAAAAAAGACGCCTGGCTGGAATGCTCCCCAGGGAGTGGAGAATGTGCATACATTGTGTGCGGGACAGCCTGAATCCTATGACCAGGGTAATAATATATATATATATCTGTAAAGCGCTTTGAGAGGGCCTTCGGTCCTGAAAAGCGCTATATAAGAACTAGCTATTATTATTATTATTAAATGCAACTGCATAGAGAGTTGCGTTTTGAATTCAAGCGCAACTTTTCCAGAACAAATGCAACTTTATGATAAATATACCGGTATGACCAAACTTTGCGTTTGATTTCAATCGCAAGTCTCTTTATGCAATTCGAAATTGCGTTTGAATGGAAGTTACATACGATGTTTGCGTTTGATCTGAGTTGCGATTTTTAAAAGTCACTTGACTTTTATGCCAAAAGCCCCAGCAGTTGTGTTGTACAAAAATGATGGCAAAGCAGGAAGTATTATGGAAAATGTGGAATGGATTCTTTCTCTCTACTTGTTTGACAATTCAGTCTTAAACTTGTTCAAGATATCTTCAAAAGGGAACATCAGACAAGTCTGCTGTGTAGCAAAAAAAGTGAACCATTACAGTGCTGCCAAGTTTACAAAAGTGTATCACAAAGATATCACAAAGTGAATTTATCTGATACACATTTTCAGTGAGATCTATTTTGTTGTTCATATTGATGAAAACATTAATACTGTGATATCTGACTTCAGAGAATCCATGAACCCTTTTTAATTTGTTATTGATACAGACAAGTCCTCCTTAATCACAAATATGATATAAATATCATATTATGAGTACTTTGAACGCCCAGAAAAAATAAGCGTTTTGACAAATAGTATATATATGTGATGAAGCCGTCATGCCCTTTTATATTTGAATCTCTTGCAGGAACATTACAAGACCATATGGTAGGAACTGAGCTGATTGCAGACTATGTACTCTTCACTCTCAATAGATTACAGAAGTTTAGGTAAGTATTTTTTTTTACATCATTTCTCACAAATGTTTCATTGCTTGTGCTCCCTTTCCCACACAAACACAATCCAAATCTTAACCCACGATAACATTTTTCAAAAGGAAAGGATAAACCTGTCCGAATACAAACTATTTCGGTTAATTTCCATAATTTCTTATTGTTATCTATTATTATCCTTATTTGTTATGTTTTTTGAAATCCATATTATGTATTTAGTTTTGCGTTATGTAATTTTCTTAACTGTTCGTTATGTACATATTTTGTTAGGTGCCTTCATTCTTTCTAGCATGTCCTTTCGGGCATAATTATTAGAATATGTGTACATAATAGATTATGTGTTTACTTGCAAGTCATTTATTATGTGTACCACAGCGTTAGATATTTTTTTTCTTCCTGCAGGTACGTAGATGTTTACAACATGTCCGAACCTTGTGATGACATTGACGGAGTCTTAGCAGGTATAGCAAGAAAGTTTGGCAAGGTCAGAAAGCTGAAAACCTATGAAGATACTTACAGTATATTAAATTTTGTTTGTTTGTTTTTATTTGTTTTTCTTTGAGGAATGATGTCATCTTCTTGAAATAATATATCATGGGGCCGTACCATCTGCCTATTTTTTCGTCACGTATCGTTATGTTCACTGCTTTTTAAAATGTTGCAGCAAACGAAAATAAACGAAACAGAGTAGCTCGCTCCCCATTTCTTCCCAATCTTTTCCTCTCATGTTGACAATGCTGTGCAGTCAATTTACATCTGTTTGCTTGTTAGCCCATGGACTGCAGAGTTCTCTCATCCCCATAGGATTAATACATGGTTCACACTGTTTCAGTAAGCAATGGATTTTGTAGTTAAAGGGCAAGTCCACTCCAAAAAAAATTTTCCTTTTTTTAGAGGCAGAAAAATCAGACAAACCAATCAAAAAAGTTTGAGCAAAATCGGATAACTAATAACGTATAATAACTAATAAGTTATGAATTTTAAATGACATGAAAAACTTCGAAAATCACAAGACAAATTGGCAACTCACTCAGGAATCTCTGACGCCATTGCCTCACTATCTACTAATTGTTTTCTTTATATACGGATAAGTATATTTAACGCAATTGATAAATAGTGAGGCAATGACCATCACAAACTAAATGGCAAATTGTGTAGTGATTCCATTGTTCCATAGTTTTTCAAACTTTTTCAAAAATTCATAACTTCCTTATAAGTTATCCGATTTTACTTAGCAAAAGTTGCTCTGTATTTCTTGTTTCTCTGCATCTATTAAAAGCAAATTATTTTTGGAGTGGACTTATCCTTTAAGGGCAATAGAGAGACTGATTTCATTTTGACATTATGTTTACTTACAGGATCAAGAAGAGAAATATTGGATCTTCATGCAGCTGCACAAATCCTTGTACGTGACTTTAGAAAAGGAGCCTTGGGTCGAATATCAGTAGATTGAATCTCCTGTGACTGAAAAAAGCAATATTAATGATCTGTTGCAAGGCTGGAGTGCAAGACGTGTGCAACCACTACTATTGGGCGCCTTTGGGGCCTTATCTCTTTACAAGAACAATTGTTTGAAGATGTGAAGAAAGGACCGACTTGACTTGGATGCGTAGGATGGTGTGTCCCCTTGCTCTCCTATGAGAAATCTTGCTCCATTCTGATCTGCCCTGGGCTTCTTGGTCTGCCTCTTGTGTGGGTAATCCCACATGGCACGCAATGTGAAGTACTATCATAGTTCTAGGCCTATTCGTTTTTACAAAACTGCTCCTGTACCTTATCTGATGACAAGATAATGCATCTGCCTATTCATACGTGCATGATTTAACCTTGTTTCCCAAGCAGTAAACTCATCTTAAATCTCTACCAAATAGGTGAATATGAGGATATAAAAAGAAATCAGCGACTGGAAAATGTTGCTTCTTTATTCTTCATTCAAATGAAAACAGATAATCCATCAAATATACTCATTAACAACAACAAATCCAAGCTCTGACAGAATAGCATTTACGTAGGGATATCACTGCCATTCACTCTCACTGAGCCCATGAGTCCCGTTCCTGACGTCACGGATAGAGGCCCGACTCTACATGCACTTCCGGGTTTCAGACTTAGATAGTTTGGTAGAGTTTAATCGCATAAAATCACCATTCTTAACTTGTTTTTGTCAGTTAGACACCATTTAGTGTTATTCTGGGGGTTAAAAGCTTTCCATTGATGTAATTATCTCAATATTTGGGATTGTCTTAGAAACTTGGATGCGTAGGATGGTGTGTCCCCTTGCTTCCCTATGAGAAATCCTGCTTCAGTCTGATCTGCCCTGGACTTCTTGGTCTGCCTCTTGTGTGGGTCATCCCACATCGCACGCAATGTGAAGAAAAGACTAGTGCAATAATGGAGGTGTATTATCATGGGAAATCTCTGTTACTCATTAGCATAATAATGATAGCTACATTTATATTGAACATGTATCCATCCCAGGGATACTCAAAGTGCTGACAAAGTAGCATTATTACCCTGGCTTTAACACAGCTGCCCTAAGGCCCTTAAAGCATTCAAGGGATAATATCCTACGAGGTATCCATTGACTACACCTGGGCGGAGAGTGGCAAATGTAGATCAATGTCTTGCCAAAGGACGTTAGCGCTGCAGTGGGACTTGAATCATGTGAACCGTGTGATTCACAGTTCTGTGACGTATTCACTTGACCACAACACCTCTACATAGCAATTGTATCTCAGGTATTATAATTGAGGATGAAATCAATCAAATTGCTTATCATGGAAAGAAATGTTTAATAGCTACAGGTATATGTTCACCACTGTATGCTGTTAAAATGTTGAAGCTGGTAGAAGTTTGATGTCTTTATTTGTATGAATGCACCTGAAAAGCCCACCTTGCTTTCATGATAATGAAAGGAATATCGGAAATGAATATTTTGTATTGCTAAAAATTGAATAAATCGTACATTATAGAAAATCTGTTTATGTCTTGTTCATTTAAAGTCATTTAATAAATTAAGTTTATGTACTAGTTTTAACAACATTTTGACAATCCAGACATATTGCTTTCATGGTTCTTTGTACCGGTACTTTGTTGGGAAAAAATGGCTTGACCTTTGACATCTTACAGCCAAATTCTAATCAGTTCATTCTGACATGCTTGAATGTTTGAGCCCTATCTGGTTTGTTTTGATACCGATTCAGAGGTCCACATTCAAGGATGGAACATATGAGCCTGGATATAGTGATATAACATGTACGGTGTATCTTATAATTTACAAATATTAAATAAAACGGAGGAAACAAAAAGCAGTACAACATTATATAAGTTTTGCATTAAGTCATTCTTTTTATTAGCAAAATTGTTTTACTATAGTATAAATTGACCTCTCAGATTGCATAATCTGAGTATATTCTACATTAATATGATGTTTGTATGCATACATACACACATATATAACATACATATATGTATCTTGGATGGACATATTGTTTTTGATGCATAAGGTAACAAAACGAGCCCATTATATTAGTTTCAGGAATGGTTCACTACTACAAGCACTACATCATATTTTGAACTAGTTAGCTTAAAGATCAACGGTCTTCAGCTATCTAATAACCAGTACGTTAATTTATTTCTTTTTATTTATATATTGCTAAGTGGAAACAGCCATTAAAGTACACCAATCACCTGAAGAAAAAATTGGTGTAAAATCAACCTAAAAAAATGTTATCTGGTATTCTATCGGTTAACGCTTGGTCTACGACTAGTCTACTCGCAAGTCTTTTTAATGTTAATTGAGAGTCGAAATTTTTTAATACTGTATCTCTTTATATCAAGCTCATCTTGAATATAGTATAGCGACGAGAAAAACCAATAAAACAAAAGGTTCTTTGGTAATGAGTACACTTTAGATAGAATTACGAGGGAAAGACAAAGACATGAAGAAGATGGTTGAACAAAAATAAAAGAATAAAACCTGTTGACATGATTACAAAATTAGAAGCATACATTATCATGCCTGCCAATTGTTACAATTTAATCAGAATATTCTGATTTACTAACAATTCAGAATATTCAGATTTGTCAAAATTCTGAATGACCAAATCTATTTTTATTGTTTTAAAGCCAATTTTGGCTCGTTTCACAATGTGCCTTGATTCGCTTTTTTGTACAGATTTACTGTGTATTGGCAGTTACACTGCCTCTGCATATACTGTATGGCCATGGTTAGGCCGTGCGATCGCCTGTTAAGGGTACAGATTTCTTATTTTCAAATGTTGGCAGGTATGCATGATGAACCAAAAGAACCTTTTGATACACATGCTATACTAGTTTCCAAACTACAATGTATTTGCGTTTTAGTCTGCATCCTTCATAATTTGTAAACACTTTCAGTCATAAATCTTTTTAAAATTAATTTCATGCTATATACTGTATTTTCTTCATTTCATACTATATCTGTCTGTCTCCAATATCAATATCTGCTATTTAATGATAAAGCCTGCTCCCAATACTGTAGTTAATTTATGAATAAATTTTAAAATACTAAAAATATAATGGAACTTCCTCCATTTGTCTAAGGAGTCTCCAGTTCATCCTTTCAAATGGAATTACAATGGCAAACAAGATAACATTCTTGTTGGACCCTTATAACATCACTTTATCATTTCATAACATGCCAACACAACATCATGTATAGCATATAATTTTTGAATATATTAAGAACCCTACATTATTACTTGGCATAAATCAATACAGCTTTGGATAACTTAGATGCTACTATTATCGATGCTCCTGAAAGAGTCTGAATATGATAGCTTATCGCAGCAAAAATCAATAGAATTGTATATTGAAAGGGCAATAGAGTACTGAAGCTGTGACGTCATACATATCTATTTTTAAAATTTCTTAATTTTTTCTTCTTTTTCTGAAAGAGCATAAACAATAATGTCCAAATGTCGAAAACCAATTGAATATGTTCAGTATTGGCTGAGATATGACCATCTGAATACATATATTTCCTATATGAACTCAGTGTTATATGCTCTGGCTCGTAATGGTTAGGAGCCAGAGCAAATAACACTGAGTTCCTGTAAGATATTTGTTTTATTCAGATGGTCATACAGATATCTCAGCCAACACTTAACATATTCAATTGGTTTTCGGCATTCAGACATTATTTTTGATGCTCTTTCGGAAGATGAAGAAAAAAAAAGAGAAATTCTAAAAATAGATATTTGATGACGTCACACATCACCACTCTTACTATACAAAAGAAAAGAAGAGAAAAAAAAGGATGCACAGAATACATATCACCTAAAAGAATGATTAGAATCATTTGCCTGCAAAGTCTATACATAACAAACACCTCCGTTTATAGCTCTATACATTAAGACGCAATGAAGACAAGAAAACCGTTAGAGTTGCAGCTTATGCTCTTCAAATAACATTCATTTATCTGGAGAGAAACTAAGCCTACAGAAAAATAAAATAGACTTGTATTTGACTAATTTGTACAGCACGTAACTCAAATAATGATACAATATTTGATCCTATACTCAAAAAAATATCTTTCCAACAATATAACTCTGATAATTGCATGATTAAATGTACAAATGCAATTCATACAAGATTCAATTCCATACAAATACAATTTTCATTCAATGATAACCATGAACAATATCCACTTCATATGTTCATTCCAGGTCTGGGCTAGTATTCAATTCAATACTTCAGTCATAAATACAAGCATTTTACCAAGTTTTAGGCTAAGGCAAATTACTGATTACTCTAAATTTAGGACAGCTCCCTAGTTGGCTTCAACTAATTATTTTGGAGGGCTTGAATGGCAGGCACATGGTTTTTTTCATACTCATACTGATAGGTCATAAAATGCTGCACACAATTATATCAGCTTGAAGCACATAATTTTTTGATTTGGTATGTGACATCAAAATGGCCATCAGTTCAAAGTATTTTGCCTAAAAGTTGGCTTACTGAAGTAGAATACTTAGATGTGATCTGAATAAGACTTGAGCCATTTTACTTTTTGTTTTTAGCTAAGCTAAATGCTGAGTAAACTACTAATACGATTCAAGTACTGAATTGAATACAGGCCCAGATACCTATACGTAGATGACTGTCCTATCGTGGCTGTGGCCCATATACAGGGTATACAGTCCCAGATATCTATAGGTAGATGATCGTCCTATCGTGGCTGTGGCCCATAGATGGGTAGATGTCGATCCTATCGTGGCTGTGGCCCATATACAGGATACTCTAACATGGTGTCGAGCTCCTCGTTATGCTGGGCCAAGTTGATCTGTTGGTAGGCCAGTACCAGCTCTAGGAGGGACCCATACAGGTTGTAGGGCTCTGCAAACCCATAGCCCGTTGAAGTGTAGTTGATCTTACAGTGGCACACCTCACCCTGGTCCTTGGCCCTGCAACCAAACAAGAAATAGTGGAGTTGAAGTGAGTTACAATGATAAGGATAACCATCTTTAAGCGCATTAGACGTACAGTCAAACCTGTTTTAGAACCCACCTGTCTACAAAGACCACATTTTTTGTTTCCCTTGAAAATAGTTTCTCATTGAAACATGAACTAAAGGAACCTGTCTACAAAGACCACATTTTTTGTTTCCCTTGAAAATAGTTTCTTATTGAAACGTGTACTAAAGGAACCTGTCTACAAAGACTACATTTTTTGTTTCCCTTGAAAATAGTTTCTCATTGAAACATGAACTAAAGGAACCTGTCTACAAAGACCACATTTTTTGTTTCCCTTGAAAATAGTTTCTCATTGAAACATGTACTAAAGGAACCTGTCTACAAAGACCACATTTTTTGTTTCCCTTGAAAATAGTTTCTCATTGAAACATGAACTAAAGGAACCTGTCTACAAAGACCACATTTTTTGTTTCCCTTGAAAATAGTTTCTCATTGAAACATGAACTAAAGGAACCTGTCTACAAAGACCACCTGCCTACAAAGAACCGCTTTTTGTGTTTACCTTGGGCGGTCGCTATAGACAGGTTTGACTGTACTATCACACTAGTCCTGAGATTTACGTACAAGCAAAGAATGTGCACCATCTCCATTTCCCCAGGAGCTTATTAAAGCCCAACGTAGGTATGTCACATTACTCTCAGAAAGTTACATTAGACTTTAATCAGTTACACTGGTTTCCTTATGTTTCCGTAAATGAACCCACTAAAAGTGAATTCAATCTAAATCCAATTACACCAAAGCAAGTTAAATCAGTTCTTCAGATGAAAAAAGCATCTTCGGCCCCTGGTCCAGATTGCTTAATGTATGGGTTGTTACGTAATGTACCTTGTATTCACCACTGTCTAGCTACTTTGTATTCTCGTATACTATTCGAAAGTAATGATCCACCCGATAATTGGTCTGTCTCTCGTGTTTCCCTTATACACAAAGACGGAGACACTTCCCTACCCGAAAATTTCAGAATGATCTCACTCACTTCATGCGTGAGCAAAGTATTTCACCAAATTTTGGCAAACCGGTTGGTTGAATACCTCGTAGAGAACAAGTTTGTTGATAAATCGGTTCAGAAGGCTTTTATTTACGGTATAAATGGGTGCATAGAACACAATCAAGTAGTTCAAGAGATTATCGCAGATAGCCGGTATAGAAAACGTACCGTCCACATAACCTTTTTTGATATAGCCGATGCCTTTGGTAGTGTTAGCCACGATATCATTTCACACTCGCTTAAACGATTTGATGTACCGCAAAATGTTTCATTGTATATTGAGAATTTGTACAGCAAACTACAAGGTAGTATTGCCGGTTGTAATTGGTCATCAAACCCTTTCACGTTTAAGAGAGGTGTATTCCAGGGGGATCCCCTCTCGCCTGTTATTTTCCTCGCATGTTTCAACCCCCTACTTGAATATTTGGCCGAACTCAAGGATAAATATGGATACAATCTAAATGGTACTAAGGTGATAACGACACCTTACGCTGATGATTTTAATCTCATTACATGCAATAAGCTACAACATCAGAAGATAATCAGTAAACTGCACCAATATAGTTCATCCATGGGCCTTATACTAAAACCGTCTAAATGTTGTAGTCTGTCAGTCAGCAGTGGTTCACCAAGAGAGATCCCATTTTACCTTGGCAATGAAACTAGTATTAGAACACTCAGAGAAAAACCTCATCGTTTCCTAGGGGCCCAAATTTGCTTCAGTGGTAAAACATCTGAAGTTTTCCAATACGTCTACAGTGAAATTAAAACAAAGCTAGAAAGAATAGATCGATCATTGGTAAGACCTGAATTTAAGGTGGCTATATATACTAGATATATGCAACCATCTGTTCGCTTTCTCCTAACAGTCCATTCCCTCCACAAGACCAACTTAGACGAACTCGACCTTCTATCTAGACGGTTCGTCAAAAAGTGGCTGGGAATCCCATCCCGTGGGGCAAATGTTGCCTTAGTACATATGACCCAAGGAATGAATATACCACAAATGTCTGATATATATTGGCAGAGCCACACTCTAGCACTCACAAGATCTAGAGTCAAAGGGGACTCCTTGGTGAACCACGCACTGGATTGTACTCTCGAAAGAGAATCACGATGGTCACAGAAGACCTCGTCTATTGTTCAATGTCAACTAAATCTTAATAGAGTAGAGGATACGGTAGATGTTAATAATAGTTCATGGAAGGTAGTCAAGAAGAGTGTCAAAAATGTGTTAGAAGATGATGCATCAACGTACTGGGAAAAGTCCGTTGAACCATTACTTTGCCAAGGCCAGTTTGTGAAACTACTGACTCTGGAAGACGAAAACCTCACATGGAAATCCATAATGTACAATCTACCTAAGAGAGTATTAAGCTTTGTAACCAACTCATGTATTGACTCTTTGCCATCATACGCAAATCTTTACAGGTGGGGGAAAAGACTGACAAACAAGTGCCCTTTCTGCCCACTTACCACTGGCACCCTCCACCACATTCTATCAAACTGTTCAACATTTCTTGATAGATACGAATGGAGGCACAATAATATTCTCAGGTATATTTATCGAACTGTGAAAGAGTCCCTCCCTCACGAACAAGTTTATGCCGATATTCAGGGTTTCACCGTTGCGGGCGGAACCATCCCATCCCATATTTACGTAACTTCTCAACGCCCAGATCTCGTCATTATTTGGGAATCAATGAAACAAATGCTAATGATCGAACTAACAGTGCCCTTTGAGACAAACACCAATGCTGCTCACACGAGAAAGCTCGACCGGTACAAAGAACTTGTGGCCGAAGTAAGAAACAATGGTTACAGTGTGACATACCATGCTATTGAGATAGGAGCAAGGGGGCAAATAAATAGGGACAACACAAATCGGCTAAAGTGGGTACTCAGGAAATGTTCAGTCCCTCTTCGCCCGAATAGTTTCTTTCAGACCATAAGTAGGTACGCAGTTGTGTCATCCTTTGTCATATTCAATGCAAGAAAAGAATCACAGTGGAAGGATGTGGAATACCTTGACCTCTGATTAACACTCTATTCTCTTCAACGCTTCTTCTCTCTCTTCTTCCTCTTCCTCTTCTTCTTTGCCTCATTTCGTCTTTGTCTTCTTCTTCGTCCTCTTCTCCCCTCTTCTCTCTTTACCTCGGACCCCCTACATTATCCTTTTCTTCCACTACGTCCATTTCAAGTGGAATGACTTGTTTTCACTCGTTTACACTTTATCTCCAACCTATAATGTACCCTCTACTTTCTCATCTTTTTCACATTTTCCTACATCGTTTCCTACTCCCAGCCTTTACCCACATGCCCAGAAAATTATAATCCCTTTAATTTGTTTTCTGTAATTAATTTATGTTGCCAACCTATGCATGATTAATGCAGGCACGATTAATGATTGTTATTATACATGATTTCTATATGAATATAATGTATACAGATCAATGATTAATGTATAATTGTATCTATACATGATCAATATATAATTGTTATTGTGCATGATTGATATTTATTTGTAACTGTAATGCATTATTGTTTGTATATGTGTTATAATGTAGTGCGACCTGCCATGGTTTCGGAAAGGAAACATGGACCTGGTATTGAATGTAAACGTGTATTCCTTTTATATGAAATAAAGGCATGATTTAACAAACAAATGTACTAAAGGAACCTGTCTACAAAGACCACCTGCCTACAAAGACCGCTTTTTGTGTTTACCTTGGGCGGTCGCTATAGACAGGTTTGACTGTACTATAACACTAGTCCTGAGATTTACGTACAAGCAAAGAATGTGCACCATCTCCATTTCCCCAGGAGCTTATTAAAGCCCAACGTAGGTATGTCACATTAAAAAGCAATAAAAAATGATGGTACACCTGTAAGTGTGAAATGCTTCTCCCACATCTGTACATTAAAAAAAACCCAGAATACTGATAGGGGTTTTAGCAGGCCCCTTTCCACTCTTGCTATCAATTCACACAAAAGCACTGTTTTTGCCATGGAATTTTGTTTTAATCGTCATCTTGAATTCTAGGGATGTATCTTTGCACTTGACCTTGAACTTCAACTCATTATTCTGAATTTAACAAGTAATTGGCTGAACGTAATTTCCTAATGTATTAAGGGGATAGTTTAAGTGCATGGTTATTGCTCTTATTCTTGTTTATGACATTTCTAGTGCCCTTTTAGAACCCAAAATTGCTATGAAGGTCATTTTAGACCCCCAAATGTGTGAATTTAGATTGATACGATCATACCAGTTCAGCTCCACTTTCAAAAAAATATGGTGACCATCATTTATTAGTTAATTAATAATAATAACAACACACAGGCCTGCTGGTTGTGCGTATTATAACCAACACGAGAAAGCCAACAAAAAGCCAATATTGACATTGGCTGGAATAAAACGTACCTGTATAAGGCGCTATCTCGTTTTTTAAAACCAACGAATATATGTGGGGCATCACAAATATTAGAAATGGTTATATTTATGGAAATTTCAGCCGTCTCTTTACCGATTATGATCAAACAAAGATGATTTTGTCATTTAAATTGTATATTCTTTCAAATTTGACACTCAGTTTTTCATTATCTTGACAACAAAATTATTTTGTGGCTGCCCTCTGCAACAGACCTCAATTATCCCTTTAAGTATTTATATAGGGTTTGGATCAGCAGGATTTCAAAAAACCATGTGCAGTGCTGATGACAATACATTATGGTCTGAATGGATTGGACATGATAAGAAGCATCGGTATCATTAGAGGACACCAAGGGGGTGTTTCACAAAGATCCTACCGTAAGTCAAACTTAACCCTAAGTTGGGCTTAAAATTATGGAGAGCCATTTGTAGCCTTGAAATAAAATATATTCAAAAGCAAAAATTCAAATATTTTAGACTTTTTATAAATTCCACATCAAGAACATTGATAATAGACAATATGAATGATTTGAATCAACATTTTATGCCTTTCAAAATAACTTTTACAAAATATTTTCATAGATGCTAATGGCTTTCTATAATCGTTAAGTCCAACTTAGAGATAAGTTCAACTTAGGATCTTTGTGAAACACCCCCCAGAAGATGAAGATGAAGAATGAAAGTACTTACACGATGGAGCAAGCCCAGTCGATTTGTTCCCTGGTCCTGCGTATGAGGAATGTACCTTTAGCCTTGCCATAGAGAAGCTGCTCAGCCTTAGCTCTGTTAGTATCCGGTAGGAGCCACAGAGACTCGTTGTTGTGATATTGCACCTCCTTCTCTCCAGGTCTGATAAAGGAAATATAAACAACAATAATAACCTGACGACTGATAGTCAACCTGTTCGAAACGTGGAGCCACTCCCACTACCTATCCTCTCCAACCGGTGCTATACCGGTAGTTCTCCTTAGAACTATAAGCTAAGAAAGATAACCAACAGTCTTTTTCAAGACCACACAAACAACAGTCCTTCAGGGCTACACACCCTCAAGAAAGATTACAGAGAGTCCTTTTCAGGACTCCTCAATCCTCTCTCTCTCACATGGTGCACCTGCAAGCCTACTGCATAAATAATAATAATAATTTTAAAAAATATAATAATATGGATATTTATATAGCGCTGGTATACGCCAGGCTCCGACGCTCATGGCGCTTTACACATATTACCCTGGTCGTAGCCGAGCAGCCAAGGTAACTAGCGCTCAAGCATATCAGGTACCCATTTACACCCAGGTGGAGAGAGGCGAATGTAGATTAAAGTCTTGCCAAAGGAAATTAGTGCCGTGGCGGGACTTGAACCCCATACCTTGTGATCTGCAGTCGGTTGACTTATCCACTAAGACCACAACATCTCTACATAAACAACACTTTAGTCTAAATCTTCATGCCTGGTCATTACTACACGCTCCTTCCAAATTGAATATACATTCGCTCAAATTTAAAGCACTGACATTTCAAGTTGAATTCTTTTTTCCTTTCCTTGAAAAAGATGCATAGTGTCAGCATGATTTGTTTTGGTCTGGACAAAATTGGGCAATTTTTCTGATATTGAATTTGTACAGATGTCTACAGAAACAAGGCACGATTGTTGTCAAAGCTCCCACATATTAAATTAAAGTGCATGTATGAGGATATGTAATAAGTGTATGTTGGTTATGTGATGAGAGGAGGAGGATTGCAGAACAACTTGCTGGAAGGAATGGTAGAGGGTAAACGAGAAAGGGGTAGACAGCGAATCACTTAATTTGATGATGTCAAGAAATGGACTGGTCTTAACTATGGAGAGGTTAGAGCAAGGGTACATGACAGAAAGCGATGGAGGGGCATAGCCACCACACCCTTCCAAAGGGACGGCACTAGATGATAATAATAATAATAATATTGGATTCTTATATAGGGCACGTATCGACCTTGCAAGGTCCTCAAGGCGCTTCAACATTACACGGCTATGCTAGGCTGCCGATTTTGACGCTCGAGGCATTTAAAGGAATTCCTTCCTACCGGTACCCATTTAACACCTGGGTGGAGAGTGGCAAATGTAGATCAATGTCTTGCCAAAGGACATTAGTGCTGATCAGGACCAAGAAGTCAAATTATTCTTAAGCTTACCCATCCTGACTCTCCAACCAGCTGTTGATCTTGTCTTGTTTGACACCTTTCCTAGCCAGCCAGCTGTATCAAAGAACAACAGTATTAATATGGTAAAGATTCAATCCAATCCAATCCATTAATTCATAAAGCGCCAATATCTAGTTGCCTAATCAAAGGCGCTGATGAGACTGACAAACTACCAAAATTGTCAGTTCATGATTCTAACAGGGAAAGACAAAAAAACAGTGACTAATTGTAAGCAATCTGAAATAGGTATTTCTTTAGTTGAGTTCTGAAAGTGGATAACTGGTGAAAAGAGCGAAGGATTTTGGGAAGACCATTCCACAATCTTGATGCAGAGGCAGTAAATAATCAATCACCTACATGTACATGTAGAATAGAGCGTGTTTGAGGACTCTCATGCAGGTATTTTACCTGCAGATTGCAAATTAGTTTGAGTGTTCAAACTACTACTGCACATGTAAAAAAAAATAGTCTTCAAATGCCTACCCATGACGAGGCCTCCAAATTGCAAAACCTCTGTTTGCAGGAATTGGACTTTGACAGATTAAAGTCAAATTGCTAAGCATACTACGTTGGCTTGCGCATCTTACTGGGTACCCATTTAACACCTGGGTGGAGAGTGGCGAATGTAGATCAATGTCTTGCCAAAGGACATTAGTGCCGTGGCGGTACACGAACCGCGGACCTTGTGATCGACAGTCCTGTCGCACTCTACTTACACAACATGCCTAGGTCTAGGATATTAGGTTTTAGGCTGTTCATAGTTCCGTCACAGTCTACTTACACAACATAAGTATCTCTGAGATTGCGTAGGTCCAGGATATTAGGCTTTAGGCTGTTCATAGTTCTGTCACACTCTCTACTCTCCTCCACCTCTTTCTTCAGCTGTTCTTCCAGGTTTTCTCTGCTATCTTTCACTTCCTGTCGACGATTCTCCAGTCGTTCGTAGTTCTGAAGCAGCCTGGAGAGTGAGTACAATCCATCAGATCATTCAAAGATTCATGTATATACAGAGTGCAAAGTTTAAAGATAAAGACCAGTTAGGGTCATGCGATTGCATTGTGAAAGAAACATTGTAAAATCGATCAGAAAAGGTTGATCATCTAGCATAGATGTACTGCAAGGTTCTGGAATCATCAAAATGATAAGAAATTTGGCCCAGTCTTCATAAAGTTACAAGCACTGTGCACAGAAAGATGTATATGGGACTACGCACATGTGCACGACACGTGCGTTTTTATCTCTCACATACCAATAGATAAACTAATTTACCAAATATATCAATTAGTAGGCGGTTTCCCGGCAAAATTTTTATCATCATGTATTATTCAAAACATATTCTTTCACATGATTGGTAATATGAGCCTCCATTTCATTTTTTGAAATTGGGGCGTTTCCAATACTGGTCTTTACCTTTAACTCTTTATGAAATTTCATCTCACCAAAGATATCCTTGAGTAACCTTTCTTACAGCTCAATGCACTAACAATCTATTCCTAAGTTTTGATTATATTAACCTCATTTGTGCTCAAAGATTCTGTAAATTTATCATCTTTGAAGAGTCTCAGAGCGTGTTTAAAAGAAACAATAAAAAACATTTTTTTTCCCCTTTTAAAGGCATCGTTTAACAATGTTAGATCTGAGATACATGGCTCTACGTGTTATCAGTGTCTGTGATATGGAGTAACATTGAAGCCCTAAAAAAATTGCGCTTCAAAATGATCGTGAAATGCCTCAAAAAAGTAAATATCTTTGAGTGACCGGTTTTACCAAACTCATTTTCCCCAATAGACTGTAGTGTTATGAAAACAGTTAGGAAAACGTGAAATTTGATTTTCTATTTCCAATCATAAATATCTTGATAATCAGACAGGCGATCGGCTTGTAAAAGTCATGGGATTCCTGACTGACCTACAGGTTTATACATTTAATTATCATTGCAGCATGAGCTAAATCCAGGATTTTGTTTCAGAATCTGAGACAAAGTTACCCAATACCTAATCCACCGATCTCAAAGATTCTGACACCTTCCCACTATGAACATTGGGTGGTATTCTCGAAAGTGGACTAACTTTAGACCATGGTTTAATCCACCGACTAAGTATGGAATGCTATGTGTCCATATGAATATGTTTTTGAATAATTTCATCTGTCACTAAATTAAAATAAAATGTAATAACATAATTAATAAACAAAATATAACTATGATATAATTATGTTATGGTAATTTTGGGACATATCACATTATGGCATTCCATACTTAGTCGGTGGATTAAACCATGGACAAAAGTTACCGCATTTGCCGGCGTGAAGGCCGTAGTATTTTTGGAAGAGAAAATATCAAAAAGTCGGGGTGCGGCCTTTGTGCCGAAAGAGTAAAGAATCGCAAGTCAAAACCATGAAAAAACGGCACGAATTTGTACATATGGGACTATAATAACTATACCACTATGGTACAGGACATTTCCACACATCTTACTGAGAACTTTATCCTGCATTGTTGACATGAAGACAAAAATAAACTTCATAAAACAACATCTGCCGATAGATCTTGATCTAAGTTCGTGCCAATGCATCGCTAAAGAGTAAAAGAAGTGACCGTTAAGGAGCTGCCGCGAACGCAATTGCGCATCCAACCGAAGTCGCACCAAGTCTATTTTCTGATCTTTGTATCCATTTCATGCAATTTCGCATTACACCGTACATTGTGGTAGGGGTATATATCGGATACCAAATCTGCCTGCGATCATTTTTTTGCTAAATTTATAATTTATGAGAATATTGATTACTTTGGTATCAGTTTGTAAACAAAATAGTGTTCTACAGGAAAATTACGATTACTTTGTTTTGTCCGTTTTATTTTTTTCTATTTTTTTTCTTTCTTTTTTTCCTTTTTTTCCCCCTCTTTGAAATGTCAAAGTTGGGGGTGCGGCCTATGCGACGCTGCGGCAAATACGATAGTCCGCTTTCGAGAATACCACCCATTGATTTGATATTTACATTTGTTTCTCTGCAGGATGGCAGTCTTGATGGTAGCTCGTATGGATCTGGAGTTGTTCTTCTAACATCGTCACTATCTCATTGAAGGCATCCAGGGCTTGACGTTTCGTCTTGATTTCCTGTATTACATGATAAAAAGAGGAACACTGATATAAAAAGGAGTCATTCTATGATTGATTGCTTGATTTATTTATTCATTTCATATAACAATTGTTTGCACAATAAAGACTATAGTTGACAAAGTAAGATCAAAATTATGAAATGAAACAGGAACCTACTGGAAAGCATAGCTTGATTTTGTAGGTTCCCAAGAATACATATAATATGAACATTATTATCATAAATCATTTTAAAGTGTCTTAATAATCACAGTATAAAATAGATATAATATAATAACATATTTTCGTAAGCCATTTTAAAGTATCTAAATAATAAAAAAAAATACAAAAAGAAAAGAATGACAAAACAGGACACAAAGGACAGGAAAATTACATAAAAAGATAAGATAAGACATGACAAAACAAGTCATAACAGGACAAGATAAACAAGACAGGATGGGACAAGACACACAAAAGGACATGGCAGGACAAAACAAGACAAAAACAAAGCTGCACACAACAGAAGTTAGAAGAAGAGGGAGAGAGGGAGAGAGAGGGAGAGAGAAAGAGAGAGAGAGAGAGAGAGAGAGAGAGAGAGAGTGAAACAGGGGAGATGTGAGAAGTTTAACCTGTAGGAGACATGTATTTTTGTATTAAATTCTATAGACAAGTATTTATAAGGAAAAAGGGACTACACATGTACAAGATAACTTCTTCTTCTTCTTCAGTACGTGTCGACAGACTTGTTAGTCCATGTAGAGACACTGAAATGAGTCACATGGTCAGGGACTGGAGCGATCATTCAGGAATTTTAGTGCATGGGATCTAAAGGAATCAAATGATCCTGTGTTTTGATAATGCCATCAGTATCGGGTAACTTTTTCTAGTCCTTGCACATGCGAGGAAAGTAGGAGAATTTTTCATTCCATGTTCTTTATTTGCTTAAACTTAAAAAGCACATTAATATTTTGTAACATATTTTTGTCAAACAAACTTGGGGAATGTTTCACAAAGACTAAGATCGACTTTAAGTTGGACTTAACAATGGCAGGCCATCATGCCACTGTTTGCTCTCACCATTTACTGGCATTGGTCTCTCAAGGGACGTACAAATCATGGTCACAAATCTATAGAATTTACATTTTTTGATAATTCATTATTGAAGGAAAAAATAATCATCTAAAGATCATACTAGTGAGAGCCAAGTACTGAGTAAACAGTGGCATGAACGGCCTGCCATAGTTAAGTTCAAATTAAATTTGATCTTAGTTTTTGTGAAACACTGCCAGGGTACAATAGGCAATTTCTCTGCAATATACTCGCATATAATACGTAGAAAGAGAGAGTAAAGTGACTACACTGACCTGTGCTAATTTGTTGTACTGTTCATATTCTACTACTACTACATGTACTACTACTACTACCACTACCACTACCACTACCACTGTCACTGCCACTACCATTACCACTACCACTACCACTACCACTACCACTACCACTGCCACTACCACTACCACTACCACTACCACTACCGCTACCACTACCACTACCATTACCACTACCACTACCACTACCATTACTACTACCACTACCACTACTACTACTAATACTACTACTACAAATACAACAACTGCTACTACTACTACAACTACAACAACTGCTACTACTACTACAACTACCACTACCACTACCACTACCACTACCACTGCCACTACCACTACCACTACCACTACCACTGCCACTGCCACTACCACTACCACTACCACTACCGCTACCACTACCACTACCATTACCACTACCACTACCACTACCATTACCACTACCACTACCACTACCACTACCACTACCACTACCACTACCACTACCGCTACCACTACCACTACCATTACCACTACCACTACCACTACCACTACTACTACCACTACCACTACTACTACTAATACTACTACTACAACTACAACAACTGCTACTACTACTACAACTACAACAACTGCTACTACTACTACAACTACCACTACCACTACCACTACCACTACTACTACCACTACCACCACTACTACTACTACTACTACTACTGCTACTACTACTACTACATAATAATAATAATAATACGTAGAAAGAGAGAGTAAAGTGATTTCACTGACCTGTGCTAATTTGTTGTACTGTTCATATAGTTCATCATACTGCTTAGTCTTATCTTGATATTCTTTATTCTTGTCTTTGAGTTGTAGTATGACCTTACCGATGTCATTGTCTTGTATATCGTCCTGCAAAAGTATCAATCAAACAATAAACCTTGTTAGACATACATCATACATATACATGCTCAATCAAACTATATATCTACATGTATTACAAAACTATTTTCATATAATCTTTTAAAAACTATATCATAGTTTGAAAACCTAAATTATTCACACTTATACAGCAGAAATCCATCCTTATATCAACTTGGTTTTAATAAAAGACAAAATATTTGAGGAAAATACAACTGAGGATCAGAAGTATTATGAATTTCTACAGTTGTGATCAGTTACATGAAGTCACCAATTTGGTAAGTATTCAATTGCAAGCAGCTCTCTATTTTTTTTTCTTCATAAAACATATTTCTAAATAAAAAAAAATATATAAACATCTATTTCTTGGTTATATAATGAAAAGATCCATTTCACTGAAAGGGATTTTAAAACAAAGTGTCCTTACATATGTCTCGGGCACAAATTTGACAGCATATTTTCTACGGAGAAATTTCAATATGAAACATGGATGCATGCTAGCAAGGGAAATCATGTGGAGTAGCAAAATTCAGGTGTGATTGGTCACAACTTAAAAATTTAAAACTTTCTGTCTCTTCAAACTGTCACTGATCTGTTTCTCTCATTTTTGCTCTTATTGAAACCAACTTGATGACGGGTGGGCTCGGACTTTAAAGAATGCAGAGGTGTCAAAGGTTGGGGGTTCAAGCCCCACTGCAGAACTAAGTGTCCTTGTGCAATGTAATGTGATTGAGAGTATGTGCCTGCAGAACAGTGATATTATATAAATGATGCATGCAAATGAGTTCATGATCTATCCACACTCAAGTTATGGCTGTATGTATCTATTATAGAAAGCCATCAGGCTGAGCATGACAGGTGCATAAACAAGAGAAAAAGATCTTATAATGTTCACATGAAAACATACATCATTTGTTTTATTAATACAACAAAACCCCTAGATTCTTGCTATTTGACGGAAAATGAATTCATTTCACAACTGTTTTGTGTCATTATTGCTGACAAAATTTAATAGTCTTACTTTAGCATGCACACGGAGATGCACAGTGCTACGTGCTGTGCATCACTTAGTTAAAAAATCATTGGAAAGTACTGGAAACTATTGCATGCCTTTTCAGGCACATGTGATAGTCTCAGTAAATGAATCACATGTGACCGCATGTGACCAATCAGTTGATAAGGATCTAGAAGTGAGTAGTTGAAAAGAGAATGTTTGTCTCACCTGCTCTTTCCTCGAGACTGGAGTGGTTAATCTTACATCTAGTCTGTTGTTGTACTGAGCTAATGAGACGTGATGATAATGGTTGATTAACTCCACCACTGAATGAAACCGGAGCGGCTCGGAGAAACCATACATGCGGTTCTTGTGGACGATCTTGATAAGTTTGTTGCTGCCACCATGCCTATGGGTACAACAAGAAAAAAAATACAACATTAATAAGTTCAATTAGCTTATATTCTATAGATGACCATGAAGGTCATCACAATTAACCTTGGTGATCTGTACATTTCTTTTCTCAGGGATTCTCAGGTTTTAAATTTTACATCCATATGACTTGGTAGTATGATTAAGAGAGTTGCTAAAATCGTAAGTTAAAGGTACTATGTCCCATTTGCAGGCCAAAAAAATGAAAAAGTTAAATTCCAACTGCATTTGAAAGATAATACTAATTTAAGACTTTCCTAAAAAAGGTGGGGCTTGAAAACGTCTTCAAGTGGGAAAATAACGACTTTTAGTTGTCAAATCAACTTTAGGGCTATAGAGTCCAAAAGTAATAGTCTTGATTTTCAGACAATTGTACCGAATGGTCATACGTTTTATGCTGCGCAAAGATTTAATCAGTTTAATCTTGGCCATCACAAGAAGTGGGTTATTGATGTAGACAAATGCTCATGTACCCTTTACAACTCTTTTCATGTATGTTATTACCAAAGAAGACAAAAAGCCAGTCAGTCACTCAATAGTGTCTGACAGTGAAGTCTAGCAAGTAAACGGGTTTCCTTGCATAATTTGAATATGAGGACACTGCTAACGTTTAAATTTCACAGACAGGACATACATGACATAGTCATAATTCCTGCAAAGTTCTACAGAATTTGAGGTTGGCTGCAAAAGGGACATAGTCCCTTTAAAGTAATCACTGATATCTGCCATCCAAATGTCCACACTAAATAAAAAACTGTTTTATCATTTCAGTGTATTGTTCTCTTTTGAATAGTCTTAATTTTCATGAAATGAGAGAAATATTTTGGTTGAACTTTTGAATTTTTACCAACAGAGTGCCCCCGAGAAACCTGTTACTACACTATACAATGTACATTCCTCTTTAGCCATTGGAACCAGGGCCCGTATTCAACTCCATACTTAAGTACAAAATTTAAGCTTTTTACTTAGTATTTGGCTAAGATAAAATACTTAGCCAATGTTGGTATTCAATTCAAACTTTTTGCTTATTATTTTACCCTTAAATTAAGACAGCTCCTTACCAGACTTAAGCCAATTATTTGGAGGCCTTGATTGGCAGGCATATGGTTTTCTTACACAGTATTATAACCTGTGCACAACTACATGTATATTAGCGCGCATTTATTGCGCATTACTTTTGATTGACCGTGTGATGTCACAATGCTTATCAGTTAGTATTTTACTTAGATTTTGTCTTAAGTTATTATAAGTCTTAAATGCGATTTGAATAGGAGATAAGTAAATTACTTAGCTTACCCATTTACTTAGTAAATTTCTTACTAATGCGAAGTATTGAATTGAATACCGGCCCTGGTGATTCCTATATCAAGCCTAAGGGAATAACAGAATTCAGTTTATATCATAGCGCATCTACCCAAACGCTGTGTGTTCTGACAGGTGGGGTGTCCGAACAGATGATTTCAAACAGTAAATTGAAAAAGTTTCCATTCAATTTTTCAGAAACCTTAGGGAAAAAAATCACTTTGGACAATGTCATCAATGACGGTATTCACGGTGGTTAGTCCGTTTGATGCTTATTTTTCATTTAATCCAATGGCAAATGGACAAATGGACAGTGTCTGGATGCCCCCCCCCCCCCCCCCCCCCCCCCCCCCCCCCCCCGTTCTAATAGTAAAATTGAAGAGTTTAATTCCAAAAGGAGCTAAATCCACTTTTGATGAAAATTGAGTTATTGACATCAGAACATTGTTTACTTCAGAGCGCGTCTTTCAACATAAGTATTAACATAAATTTTGCAAACAATTATGAAAAAATGCACTTTCTCGTATCACTTGTCCATAGGCGCGTGTACAAAATCTGGTAAACAAATTCTTTTTTTCTCTGAAGTTACAAAAATGGATTTAGCTCCGTTTGGAATTAAACTCTTCAATTGTACAAAGAATGATAGCTGGACTAACCTGAGAGTAAGTGTATAGTTGCCAGGTTCTTGTTTGCTGTCTCTGACTAGAAATGTACCATCAGGCATGTCCTTTAACTTCTCGTTTACTTCCTCTCTAAAAGATGAAAACAAAAAAGAAAAAATCAGAACAATGAAAAAATCACAAACATCACATTGCAACAACAAAAAACCAAAAAAAGTTCTGTTTGTTTAAAGTAATGCTTGCATTTCCATAATTTGATTAAACAAATTCGTTTTAAAGGAATAGTTGAGTGTTGGTCAATACTCACATTAGCGAACGAAACTATGATCTAAACATAAAAAACATACAATAAATGTCTAAGAATGCATCATTGAAGATATAAATCCGAAATATTACATTAGAGTGAATTTATATGCAAAAAACCTGTTCGACTGCAAATGATTTTATTTATCAAAAATTTTACTTTCGAGGCGTGTTCAGTGTAATTGTATAGCGCCACCTCTCGGTCAAGCGGCAGCACACCGTGAATTTTCGCCAAGACGACGATCGGATATGGGCGTGCAAGTAATATCCGAACCATGTCTATAGCGCGCTGACTGATTTATATTGTACACATTATGGTATGCGAGGCCTGCACATAATTGCATGGTCTGTGGTACTGGTAGCGCTATTGTTTTTGAGCGCGATATGCGAATACTGTATGTGTATGTAGTGCGAGTACGAGTACGCTCGACCTAGTAGTAGTGTATGTGTATGTATTGTACGTCGTATGACCAAGGAGTTACTACACACTCCTTGGTATGACCCAGTTGATTACTTCTACAGTGTAAAGAAAGTGGCTTACTCTATCTATCAACCAATATGTGAGACAACGCAAGGGCAATTTTGTATTTCGTTTGTAGGAACAAAGCTGTGGAATGATCAGATGAAATTAGATTAAAAACATCGAGGTTATCTGTCCACCTACCTTCTATGTAAATGACGTGGGCCTTCGTTTTTCCTTTTATATTACTTGTCTTCCTTTTATAATATGTGAAGAGTTTCATTCCAAAAGGAGCCAAATCCACTTTGGGTACTTCTGAGTAAATTGCCTTTTTTATTTCTCCACTTTCCCTTTAGCCATGTATACCTTCATGTTGTTATATATGTTAAAGGTGTCACCCTGCATGGACCTGATTATCTGCCAATAATGATAAGAAAAAATCTTCCCTTCGGCTTTTCTGATGTTTACTAAATTTTTTGATTTTTTATTTTCGTGGATTTAGCTCCTTTTGGAATGAAACATGTTATTGTACCTAAAAAATAAAAAATAAATCATATTTTCTCAATAAAGTCACTGAAATTTTATTCAAATTTAGCAGCAAACCTTTCCTTTTAAATAATAATAGTGAAATCACACATAAATATAACCTTTCGAAAAGAAAGTAAACAACATTATTACAGTTTCATTCCAAAAGGAGCTAAATCCATTCAATTCCAAAAGAAGCTAAATCCATGTTTCATTCAAAAAGGAATTACTAAATCCACATTTTTTTTTGGCACATATCGCACGACAACCAAATGCCCTAAGATGTTGATACCCACTTTGATAGAAAAATAAGGTTTTACAAAATGGAAAAATACTAGAAGAGAAAAGGTAAGAAAGAGTAAAGACGGATTGAGGACGGTAAACCCCAAACAAGAGACTCAAAAGATCTACCCCAGAATCCTCTCACCGGCACCAGAGTTGCCTAGGCCAATGATGGCCGAGAAGATTGCGCAATGTACCGCGCCGGTCTGGCAGGAAGGTGCCAATTGCGGTGAGGGGTTTTCATGGACCAGTAGATCTGAGATTATATTATCCAAAAAAAAGAGATGAATATGAATTGACAAATAGTACCAAAAATAGAAGAAAAAAAAGAAATAAAGTGAAAGGCGTAAATATTCTAAAAAAGAATGAAACGCCGATAATACCAAACAACAACAACAACACAAAATCTAAAAATTTGATAGAAATCAGAAATAACTGGTGGATTTTTTGTCTTATCATATGTTATAGGTCCAGAGCGACACCTTTAACATATATAACAACATGAAGGTACATGGCTAAAGGGAAAGTGGAGAAATAAAAAGAAATAAATTAAAAAAAATATTAAAAATTGTTGTATCAGTAAACTATAATGAATAACAGTAGTGAATTAATTTAACATCTTACTTGATTCATACTTGTCCATAATGCAGTGTTTTTCAGTATTCTTATTTTGGTACTGCATGCAATTGTAAAGTTTAAAAAAAAAAGTGATTGTAACTTCTTGTAAATAAGTTGTGTTCTACAGTGCCTGTGTATTGCATGACCTACGTCAGTACGTGATAACTTGTAAATGTGTAAAGACATAAGATTTTAATATAATTATAGTAATGCTAAAATGAAGATACATAACATATTTTTATGGTGTACATTGAAAGCTTTATTCGGCCATAACTAACAGTTAAATTTACACAACATTATTGAGATGAATACAAATTATACTTGCTGTACTGAAGGCAATATTTAAACGTGATGTTGATTCCAACCATTGCATACAAACAGATCATGTGTATTAAAAAAGGCACATTTTTATTTAGCATCTATCGCTATGACAACTTTAAAGATGAAGTTGAGTTCTGGTCATGTGATTGTATTTTGAAAGAAACGGTGTGGAATCGACCAGAAAAGGTTGATCATCTAGCATATAAGAATTTGTGTGTATTGCAAGGCTCTGGAATCATCAAAATGATAAGAAAATTGGCCAAGTCTTGGTAACGTTACAAACACTGTACACAGAAAGATGTATATGGGACTACACGAACACATGGGGTAAAAATACTACCCGGATTTTTATGATGTTACATGACATATTTAGAATATGAAGGCATTTGAAGAGCCATGCTTTTCAGGGAACATGTCTTATCTGATGTTCTTCCACACTTGCATAATAAGAATGATAACGCTCACAAAATATTTTTCACCTCTTCCCAGAACTCAACCTTCTCTTTAACCGTCGTCATTAAGAAGGAGCAATATACTTTATTTGTATACCACCATGTCTTGTTACTTATTAGTTACTGCTTATTTATATACATCTTATCTTGTGTCTTTCATAAAAACTTGACATACTCTATAGGCAATGTGTAGATAAGTTTACCAAAGAAAAGTATCTATAACAGTAATGTTTCTACGCGCTTGACAAATATACCATTACCCCGGTCATTTGATTCAGTGCTTGCCCGCACACAATGTTTTGACTAGTACGTGATCATACAAATTTTGCCGAGAAACTGCCTACTAATTGATATATTTGGTAAATTATTATATCTATTTGGACTTGATAGATATAACGCATGTGTCGCGCACTTGTGCGTAGTCCCATATACATCTTTCTGTGTACAGTGCTTGTAACTTTACCAAGACTGGGCCAATTTTTTTATCATTTCGATGATTCTAGAACCTTGCAGTACACACCAAGACTTATATGCTAGATGATCAACCTTTTCTGATCGATTCCACAACAATCCTTTCACAATGCAGTCGCATGACCATAACTGGTTTTATCTTTTAAGTTTCACATCTTACTTTATATATAAATGCTTTAAAAATTGTCTGAGTGATTCTTTTCCTTAATGTGTACGAGTATACATGTATACATACTCCATATCGATCTCAAATCCTGAATCATATCAGTTTCAGCACAAAATTAAGTATAGTTAGGTACATATATGTCTTTCATCTTCCCTAATGCTCGACTATGAATATCACCTCAAGTGATTAACATCCAACATAAGGTTTTTCAAAAAAATAGCACAGACATTTCAAAACTGGTCATGTCCTATACGCACACAAAAGACAATTCTGCGTTGTGAGTACTGAGTTTCATATGAATCGATCAAACTACTTCCAATAGTTTGCTCACATACTTATTTTACACACTGCACATGCATTGAGTTTTATACTGTTATTATAATGCCTCATCAAAGATACCAAAACTATAAAATTGCTAAAACTTGGAAAGAATATGCTCCACAAGATTATTAAAACAAAATTGTATTCTTTGTGCAAAGCTTGGTTACCATGGAGGTACCTTAACAGACAGACACAACAAATGTGTCTTGCACACCCTCGGGTCAATCGGTATACCAAGTTTTATTACAATTTGCAAAAAAATTTGACCCAGTTTTTTACAATAGACCAACAGAAAGACTCGCCTGCCCAACTGTATCCTTATTCCTTTATACACCCTTTCAAACTACAAAGTAGTTACAGGCAGCATATCTCTTGATGGTATAACCTTGAACCGCAATACTTTGGCGTTGAGCTGATTCACGTTCATTGATTCAAATGATGCATGAAACCAACTGTTTTGCTGTCTTGTGATCATTTCTCTTTTTCGCTTGCATTATTTTAGTCACATTGATTGCATTAAATAAAAAATGAAGACTATTTACAATAAGATATTCTACAAATCTTTCTTCTGTCCATGTTGATTTTCAACAGGTTCCGAAGTATAGTCTTTTTCATGATCGACTGTCACCTCAGTTACATGCACAGTCACTAAAACCAAACACATTGTTGACTCATGGTTTGACCTCTTGGCTGTAAATTTTATAATTACTACCGTAACTTCTTCAAGGAATATAGGTTGCCAAATAGATACAAATTGAAATATCCACCATTTCCACATGAGCAAGCACTGATTTTATCACAAATTATGAATTGTATAAATCACATAGAGCTTTTATACACTGATGTCACAATTTGTCTTTTATATTCCTACATTTCTTCCATTTGTAAACTTGCCAACCTCTTATTGTAATACAATATACAAGTGCCAAGCATGGTGGCTAATCTAGCAACAATAACAATTTATTTCTGGTACATGTATATCATGTGTTATGTGATTTTTTTTCTCCAGATAACCACATCCCCATGATCCCCAGGGACACTCTAGTATCAAGTTTGGTGGTATTTTGTCAAAGGGTCTCTGACATATCAAGAATACATGCTCGTAATGCTAAGCCATGCAATCTTTCACCTCCGGACCACAAAATCATTAGCAACCAAATGAGTCCAAAATGTTAAGTTCCAACCAATCCTCAAGATAGCCTAAAAACATGCC